ATAATTACACAGATGAGAAGGAAGGAAAGGATAGCACGGTGTGTTGCTGCATAATTTGAAGATACTGCCTTAAAATACCATTCTGTGCGGTTTGTCGTGACGACTGAGGGAGAATTGAGATCGGAGGTAGGCAAAAAGCATTTTGGCGTGTTTGTTTCTTTTGATCGCTTCAATGACGCGTTTATCTACCAGTTTTTGGTCCTCTTTTCGTTCCTCTTTCAGCTTATAGGCCTTTTTCCCAGCAGCAGTAGCAGCGTCCACGAAAAGGTTGTCTGCAGCGTTCTTAGATCGGGGTTGGGGCTTCTGACGAGCGAAGTATTCTTTGGTTTGCATTCGGCTTGGAAGACGCAACTGGCCGGTGGGAAAGTAAAAATTAAATGCATGGTCGCTGGGTGTTTTTAAGGCAAATAAATAGTAAACACAAGGGTTTCGTATTCCCCATATTTGATTTAGAAACTCATAACCGCAAATCCAACTTAACGCGCCATGATCTTTTCCTCTGGCCTCCATGACCTCCATGGAAGATCGTATGTGAGTAGCAAGACAGTTTGGAAAGACAAAGTAGGGAGGCCGATCTGCCTCTTCTGGAGACTATCTGATATCGTATGACAAGGCTTTAAGTGTGCTGTGAGTCCTCCACATAGCCAAGGCTAATCCCGAGAGTGGAATCGCCCTTCATTTCCATAAGCCGGCCAGAGGCCGCATTTGGCAAATAACGGCAACACCGCATTGGAGTCTCGTACTACTGCTCACTCTGGTTGGAAGGTGGACAGGATCCAGGCTCAAGCATTTAAACACATAATATAGACTGAAAGTTCTTTGACTTGCCGAAATCGGTCTTCGATTAAGTGGTTCTACAAAGTGCGTGGAACGTTCTCCATACTCCCTTCTTCGTAACCAATGCCATTTAAATTTACCAATGAGTTAAATTGGTTTGGTGCTTTGGGGCAGACCTTCTCTAAATTTACAAGGTTTATTTCTAACCTGACTGCAAAGTCCACAAATGTGTAATGAAGCGATAGCAGACATGCCTACCTTGTCCATCTTTATGCACGTCTTGGTAGCAATGACGTAGTCGGGATGTACCCTCCTCACTGGAATTCCATTGCACTTGAGGGGTCCAGTAATCAGCAGCAGTCCAGAGAATCGGTGTCGTCCCACGATGACCGCTCTCTTTCCCCGGTGCCTTCCAGCTAGGAGAATTACGATAGTTCCAATCCTTCGTAGCGACGACCTCAACTTCCATCGTTTAACCGCCCGACTTGGCTTGTTTCGCCTCCTCCGTGCAATACTCATCTTTGTCTGGGTACCTTTGGGCGCCTTTCCTAGGGCATGCGTAGAAACCGGGGCGCCGTCTCTACGATGCTGTTTCACTCTGTGACCCACCTACATTTTAAATAATCGGGAATATTCGGTTTTTGGGAGTGCACATCTCTGGCTACTGAAATGCGTTGAGTGGACGTACTTGAGTGGGGAAGGAGCGAGGAAAACGACCGCATTCCAGGTGACCAACACGAGGACGTTTGGGCTTTTTGACAGGCGCTTTTTCACCACCATCCTCAGTCGCCTGGGGTCGTTTACGCCGCTTCGATTTCCTCGCCTTATTCTTGTCCTTTCCCTTCTCCTTCTTATCCTTCGTCTTTTTGTTCGTTTTCCTGGGTCCTTTAGCATTGTCATCTGGGGTCTCCGTGGTCTTGCGCCTTTTACTGGTGGATTTTCTGAAGTGAGAAAAGCATTACTCAATCTTAAACAGCCTAACAAACATGTCTACGTCTTCCAGACCCTCGATGCGCAAAGGCTTTCAGTATTGCATTGATGCCACCGATAAAGGGGATCAGATCCGGATAAAGAAGAACTCCGATGTTTTTGACAGATTATTAAGGCCTAAACACCATGTGAGGTAAGTCACTCTCACTGATGGCTAAGTTTGTGAATGTTCACTAGGGAAGAACTATCCACTGGGGTACTGACGTTTGGACAAGTCCTCCGATTCAAGGACACAAGCTGCTGTGGCGAGGTGAGAAGAGGCCTCAGCGATTCCTACCTGACGTTAAAGGAAAATGTGATTGTGTCTCTCCACCACATTGATTAACGTCCCGTTCAATCTTCTTCCTGAAGTAATGTTGGTTTGAAGAGAAACTGGCTATAAGGTATGGTGAGGTCGTTGATGAGGTCACCTTCTGTTTGCTTGACAACGCCTGACAACACCACTGAAGTTGTGCCACGCCTATCTGTTGTATCAGGGTAAAACTTACCCCATAGCAATTGCTAAAATCCAATTGTTATTTAGCAAACAAATAAGCAAACCAGAATAAATTTTATGAAATAAGTGCGGAAAACAGGAGATTTTTCAGTTAAATTTGCTTGGAAATTGTTGCCTTTTAGTCTGGTCAAATCAGATATTTCGGGTAACATTTGGGTAGTCGACGCTTCCTCAATTATGAGATGTTCATCGCACTGACTAATTGCATCCTCACTCAATCTACTTAAAATAAAAACCTCCTTTGTTTAATTTAAATAAGAAGTTTAATGCAGTGTGACACCTCGAGGAAATATGAGTGGCTACAGTTTAGGCACTTCATTGTTCCTGTGGGATGCCACCTGTCATCCCACTTGGTGATAAATTAAACAGCTCCCTGAGGGCCAGAAAAGACAAGTTTGTTTTAATCTTAACTAATCATTTTGCTGTAACCGACTATCACAATTTGGTGATTATGGTGTCACACATTTGTGACGCGCAATGGAAGCAGGCATGTTAAACCGTTCATTTCTCAAAACTAACACGTCTTCCTTATTATTTGCTCTTTTATTAACTTTATAAAACATTAAAGGTACCATTGACCCAGATGATACATCCCTGTGTGGGGAGAGTACTTCCGTTTCTGTCCCACTTGTCAAAATGCCTCACCCTCCATTCAGATTCCTATGCATATATATGCATTTCCAACATTACTTTAAATGCTAAAATCTTTTTAACCTCTCCCAAAAGTGATTTCGTGCATTTGTATTTGCGAGAGAACATCCATTATTTTGTTTAAATCAGCGCAGTGAAGTTTGTGCATGCGGATTAAGGTGCATTTGGAAAACGTTTGCTCTTGAAATAAACCCTTCACTTGACACTTATAAAATGTGAAGAAGACGACAAGTGTTAGGGTGGTAGCAAGACATTACGGTTTGTTGCAAGATCGTAGCCTCTACGTGGCATAAACCGCTAAAGACCACATGAATGTCACATATTTGTGACGCTGGGGTTAGACAAGATAATCAGGTGGTAATGGAGTTAAAAATGCGTCAAATGATAGTTGCTATCTTTTAAACTTGCCAAAATGGTAGTCTTTATTTTTCAAACACTTTAATGTCTCCACAACTCATATTTAGTTGTCTTGAAATTCGTCTGCTCTAGCGAGTTGGATTGGATGTGTTTTGCATTCTCTGTGATAATTGCCACAGCTTGGTGGTTATTTTGAGCGCTCCACATCCATTCCACTGGTGATACGGCCATTTACAAACTTTCAAAAGCATTTTCGTTGAAGAATTTGGCCCTACTTACTGCGCACAAACGGGTGGCTATAAATTGGTCTCCTGGCACACGAATTATCGCCCTCACAGCACCCCCCCTCCCCTATCACTGCGATTAACGCACAAATTTTTCTAACATATTTACCACAAATTGATGTTCGTATCAAACAGGAGTATGTGATTTTACAGATTTTAAGGTGTTTAATACGGTGGCAGCGCTAAACACACAGTGGCGAGTGATGAGAATGTTTACACTGTTAAATTCGCTAGTAGACAGTGGAAATGTCGAACTTAACAATTCCAGGAAAAAGACTGAACACCACAGATATCTACAGAAGATTATAGGTACGGTTTGTACAGAAATCACGTGAATGACGTTGGCATGGCTAAAGTCACCTCAAGCTTGACAGTGGCGCTCCCAGCTCACAGTGTTCAGTTGTTCGCGGGAAGCCCCGTCCTGGACGCCGCATCAGCTCCTCACTAACCTGTCATGAGATTACGTAAGAGACAAATCTTCACTTGAAAATAGTAGTCAAAATTACACATGGAACAGTGCACTCTGGGTGCCAGGAACGATGAGGAAGTTGAAGCTCTCCAAGTGCTACTCAAATGCTGTATTAAGTAGCATAACTCCCCCCCGTAGGAAAGTGTTTTTCCTACTTTGAAGTCACCACAAAGCTACTTTTTTGGTTTTACTTTCGCACAAAACCCCTTATAAAAGTCAAATAAACCTCAAACCTCCTAAAAACACCCACTCGTAGTCATTTAAAAATACTTTTCAAAGGCAGCTATCAAATGCGTTCTCGCCTGACCCACCGCCTCTGCTGCTGTTGCTGCCACCGCTGGTGGTGGTGGTGGATACGCTAATTATACAAAACTGTGAGTCGGCTGTTAGTACGTAGGAGGCATTGCATCACTGCAACACACCGTTAAACCACAATTGAAGTGCATTATTGCGCGCCATGGATGCATGCCAACTGCTCTTGCCGCGCCTTTCCTCCGCTTACAAGTGTGACATCTAAGCACTGCCACGTAAACAGCGCCAGCCTCCATAAATAGCAGTGGTGGAGACTTGCATCTACCACAGGCTACTGCATTTGTGAATACAGTCCTGTCGGTGCCGACTTTCCTTCTATATAAAAAAAGGGATTTTAGACAAAAAATTAAACCTCACTTTTGTGTATTCTCGTCTGATATGTTTCATGCATGTCACGCTTGTCTTCCGAATCAGGCAGGATAAGTTCCGAGTATTCGTATAAAGCACTTCCAGAAGTTTTATTTGTGTGTAAGTAGTTGCATTATTCTACTAATAGTTTTTATATTAACAGTATCACCTTTTGTTTATCTGAAGTGTTCAAGAGGCGGTGGCCCTCGCTATGATGCCCCTTGACATGCAATTGTTTACGTGGATGGATCACAAGGTGGTGAATACATTAATGTCGGTCTATCACGACAATATCCTTTAATGTGTCCTGCACCAGTCTCCCTTTATTTCCAACCCTCCTGTCATTAGGTAACAGTCGAACGAACCTGGCGGACGTGTATCAGGTCGGTTCGCTTCGCGAAGTGGGTGGTTGTGTACGATTCGACGAAGGTGTGTAGGCAAATGGCACCACTCCGTCTTTGTTTAACTGAGTCCCACGGGCATAAACGGTGGACTTGAAGTCCAAATATATGTGATTTCCAATTCTTCCGATTGTTTACCCAATGACTAACCGACTGACAGATTGCATTGCATTGGAACATTTGCTGAACTAACACACCCAACATTGGCTACCGCCAGGCAATTTTCTGCCTGCAATGCGCACTACCTCATGTTTTGAAAGGCGGTCCGCCCGCTGTTTGTCTGCTCTGGAATGCAGACTTAAAAGTTCACCTGCGACCCTTCAGGAAGAGTTAGGCGTCCAGTCTTGTAGAACAGCCCAAGATCTCATGAAGAGGAGGGGAAGGCTGTCTCACTCTCATTCTCGTCCTCTGTTTTCTCCTCTTCAAGTCATGACTACCATTGTTTTCCTAACTACCACCAATAGATAATCATATGCAAAAGTGAGGTAGAAATAGATCTAATTAGGGCGCAGATTTCATTTCCAAGGACAAATAGTTTTGTTAATAAAAGCGGGATTTGTGTGTGGTGGTAAGACTAGCTTACCTGTTGTAGTAGCTACAAAAAAGGCGCACGACCTTGTCCCCTTATCCCACTTTGTGGGTATAGTGGGGACGGAACGATAGGAGGCGTCTTTCTTATATCGTGGAATTGCTCGACAACGACTTCACTTCCAGCTAGAACCACCAATACCATGAGTCCCAAACAATGACCTCTAGAGGAAGTAGCCCCAGGTCAGCTTAGACCATTTCAGTATGGAAGTCGAAGTGAAGAAGACTCTTCTGAGATGCTTCAGGCGCAATGCCAACTATTTCTAGTGGTAAAACTAGGAAGAGAGTCCACGCCAGAAGACAAAAAAAATGGTCTTTTCACCACTTGGAATTTATCCACTTGATCTATTAAATAATCTCAAAAGTCCCGGTCTGACGTGAACGACGTCCGTGTTACCGGTGATACTTGCTTTTTTTGAAAGCGTTCTTGGTAAAGCTTAACGCAATATAAAAAATAATGCAAAGCAACTTTAAAGTGTTTATTTTGTGAAGGAACAAATTTTATAAAGAAAAATACTAGCAATTTGATGCTGTGATCTCACAGTCAAGGCTCGCATGCAGTTATCACACTTGGCGTTGTGGATGCGCTGCAGGATCAAAGCAAAAGGAAAAAATTTTTGGCGATCTACATTATTGCCTCAAGGTTAGATTGCAAGGTCATGATAGCGGTTGTGTTGATCTCGTCTACTGGAGGACTCACTCTTACTGCATATTTTACCTGTCGAAGTGAGAAGAGTAAATGCTTAGCTGGATGAAAATGCAACCGGCTGCGCTTCTTGGAATACAAGCTCTTCAAAATGTACCCCTCGTAACCAAACACCTATTCTAAGGTAGCATTTAAAGATTCAAAGTGTCAAAACAGGCAAAAAAGTGGAAGCTGTTTCCGCCATAGCGCGAAGAAAAAGAGTACTAAAAACTATGGAAAGACAAGGAACGTCGGATATGTCGAAACTGTCCAACACGTCAGGGAGGATGGTGGAAAATCAATATGGCTCATGTAATGCCTCTTCTGCAAGGTAACTCTTACATTTCGACACTGGAAAGGGTCATCAGGGCCTGAAGTATATCAAAAGGCATGTCTCAGTGAGATTGGACTTCTGGAAGATCCAGAAGTCGAGGATCGAAAGCTTTCCTAATCATGTAACCCCCTCTGGGCCTCCTAATGTGAACTCTTGAAGTGTTAAATTTTAAAACAGCTCTTCAAGACCTGTCATCGGCGAGATCGTCCGCCATTGACATTGTCGAGGCACTTGCCACCCTACTACACTTCCACCAGCGCAATCCTGTTTGCAGGCAAACAGTCGATTCCAAGAAACTAATTTCACAGGTTTTTTTTCGGGGATTATAAACTAAATTTTCCTTTTCAAATAAAACTGAGTGTCCCATTAAAAAGACAAATTGCACTTACTTGACGTCTGTACCATCCGAGTCCTTTGGTGGCGTGGACTCCTCTGAATGCTTTGATGCAGCTTCCTGCACGACCACATCTGCGGTAGCCTTCGTTTCACTTCCTCCTCGTTTTTCACCCAATCTTGGCATTTCTGACTGCTCAGGCAGATCGGAGGTAGAAGGGGTTGTTTCAGCTTCAGGAGTTTCCAAAGTTGTCACAGTTTTAGCAGCCTTGGCGGCTTGTTTCTTTGGTGTTTTTGAACTTTCCGGTTTGGTGGTTGAAGGGCCAGTTCCAACAGGCCTCTGTGGTTTACTGCCCTTTTGTTTAGTAGGCGTCTTCAAAAGTTCTGTCTTTGGTGTTTTCATGCCTACCGCCTTCCGTTTTTGTGGAGACTCGGTTAATTTTTTAGTCGGTGACATCGTTTCAGACTTAGCGGAATCTGGATGCACAGCAGACGGAACTGCAGCCTCCACAGTACTGACTGTTGATGATGCAATTTCAACTTCAACATTGGCAGACTGATCTTCTCCAATTTTCGCAGATCCTGACGACACCTTTTCGTGTTTCCTTTTAGAAGGAGGACCTTCATCTTTTGATTCTTGGGCTTCTGGTGAGTCCGGAGTTGCTTCCTGGCTCTGCAAAGAGGAGTGAGAGGATTTTTTGCCTCTTTTTTTATCCAAAGAACTTGTCGACTTCTTTCTAGACTTAGCAGCTTCCTTATGTTCTTCAGTTATAATTGGGGATTCAGTAATGTCAATTTTTTTCTCTCCAACTTCTAATGCTAACATCTCTTCCTCGAGTTTCCTCTCAAAGGTCTCAATTTTACCAGGAAGCTCCAAGGATTCCTGAACGCCTGACGATGTTGGAAGTACTTCCACATCACCGGTCAAAGGGGATTTTTGCTGTCCTGCCGGAGATGATTCAGACGATTTTTTACTTCGTTTCTTTTTCGAACCTGATGACTTCTTCCCAGATCTGGCAGTTTCTTGATGCTCCATGCTTGAAGGTGATTCTTCAACTACTGTAGTCTTGGAAGGAATAGTGGCGGTTTCAACGGCTACTGGATCCTTCTCATCAGGTTTTGTAGATTCGGACGATTTCTTTTCACGACGCTTCTTTGAAGATGTATCTTTACCCTCAGGCCTTCCAGCTGAAACCACCGGGGATTTTGTAATATCGTCTAGTGTCTGGATCACGTCCACATCTACATTGGAAGACGCGTCCTTATCCCATGATGATGACTCTGGTGATTCTTTGCTCCCTTTCTCGTCGGAGGAGGTGGGTGACTTTATTCTGGAGGGTCCGTGAGGTTCAGCAGAGAGATTTCGGGATTCCTCAACATCGGCCGTCGAGGGCGATTCTTCCATTTCAACATCACTCGGTCTTTTCTCCTCAAATTCAGATGGTTTCTCATCACCACGCTTTTTTGAAGGCGAAGCTCTGCCTTCATGCTGTTCAGTCGACACCGTCGAGGGCTTCTGTACTTCAGCCGATGCTTGTGCAGCATCCACATCTGCATTTGAATTAATCTGTTTACTCTTTACAGATGATGAAGGCGATTTTTTGTTACGTTTCTTCTCGGATGAACTTGGTGACTTTTTTCCGGAAGGTTCATGCTGTTCACCGACATCGATCGTGGAGGATGAAGTCTCCTTCGGCTCGGTTTTCACCAATTCTGATGGCTTCTTTTCACGAGGCTTTTTTAAGGATGAGTCTCCACCTTCGTGCTTTTCAACTTCAGCCGATGCTTGAACTACATCCACATCTACCTTTGATTCCATCTCTGGAGATGACACAAGTGTTTTTTTGCTCCGTTTCTTTTTAGAAGCTGAACTTTTATCTCCATGACGCTCACTAGGTGATACCGGGGATTTTGGCGTGTCTGTCACCGTTGAAGCTGCTTCCTGATTGGTTGGTAGCAAATTTGGCGATTTTTTACCACCTTTTTTATCACTTGATTTCGGTGACTTCTTCCCAGATTTAGGAGGTCGCTGTTTTTCAGCAGATGTCACTAGGAGCTCCTCCGCCTCCATTTCACCTTCTACAAGTGGAGTTCTTTTTAATGCTTTAGCTTCTATATTTTCTTCTGGAGTGAATGGGATCACTGGCCCTGAAACATTCGTCGGCGATGGAATAATATGCATTGGGTGCTTCTTTACAATATGCAAGGGTTCTGCCATCGACTCTGGACGATCTGCAGGTGCGATTTCCGATTCTACAACTTCAGATGTTGATGCAGCTTTCTCCGTCTCAACCTTGGATGGCTGTTGCTCGTCAGATTGTTCAGTT